GTTCAAATAATATAGTCTACAAACTCAGGATATACGTTCCAAGCTAACTTTCCATAAATCATAGAAATTGGAACTTCGATATTCAATTTAGAACGGTATGATTTCTAATCCATACTGAGGCGCTAAATGCAATGACTGGTATACAATTTTAAGAAAACATTAAATGGCAATGAACCCAGAGATTTTAAATCAGCTGTTAGTAACTGTAAGTCTCTGAAATACATTAAGCTGTCACATTGCAGTCTAAATATTCATGAACTGACTGAAAAAAACACATATTTTTACTTACATAATAAAAGAATATTTAACTTTTAAATGACCAACATGCTGTATTTTGATAAATTCAAAGAGGTGTTTTTGTGTCTTCTTCACTGAGAAATTTAATTTTTCCCGCTGTGAAATGAAGGGGTAATAAAACTTGATTGATCTCTGTGAACAAAAGGATCTGACCTGTTGCATCATATGTTTCGTAATTCATGACAAGTGTTGATTATGTTTTTTTTCACACGTTCAAGTGGTTCAGCATACACTAGCGGACAGCCAGTCCTGTCATTCATTTATCCGAAGGACAATTCCTTCATTCATTGGTAATTAGAAAATAAAAACTGCATTAACAAGGCAAGTAAAAAAAACAACAAAACAAAAAACATTTATTTCTCTCATTCCATATCAAAAAATGACACAATAAGGGCAAACATGAATAAACATAAAACAAAAGAAAACTTTTTTTTGCATTAATGACTGTTAGATCAATGGAATTTTAGTAATTATCCAATCAAACATAAATTTCACATCTTTTATGTTTATTCATTAAGGTTTACCAACATCAGCGGCAAATTCCCATCAAGATTTTTTAAAGTTCATCCATAATATGTTAGTGAGTGCAAATTATTATTACGAGAAAAACTGAAAAAATATCGTTACACATGAACTATTAATATTTACATAGGGAATTTCTCACTTCGTTGAGGTCGCACCTGCATAAAGGTAAGCAACTATTACACAATCTGTGAAAAACCGGACTTTGTAAGGGTAATACTAAACATTACCGACAATTTAACTAGAAATTAGAAAATTATTGAAAAATAAAGCTAATTAAAATATATCAAAAATGGCACACGAATATGGTGGCCACTGACCTTTAAAACACAATTTTACAATCCAAAAACAAATTTTTCATATATTTTTTTAGAATCGTTCGTTTGAAAAAGAAAGTTAAATTAAACAAAATGTGTCTTAAATGACAGCGAATGACAAAAAATCGGTTAAGTTTTCAAGCTTTAAACACAGTGGATTTTTATGTATAATTAAATTCTTATTTTTTTATTGGTCCTATCATCGGAATACTTCATATGTTTTATCATCGCACTGTGGTAACTTAACTTATTTCATCTCGTAATAAAATTTTGATGAGCGGCTGCTTAACATGTATTAGTTTAAGTTAATGGTCAATTTTTGCTTTGATCCAGTGAAACGCCTTATTATTTTATAATGATCAAGGGAAATAAATGACTTTCATGGTGTTGTTATATCAAAGGCTAATATTGATTGAATCCTAATTGTGGAATTAAGTCAATGCACTGCCCTAACGCAATCATTTTCTTGGTTGTAATTGTAAAACAAAACGCAATCTTTATTACAAGTTACATTGACACTAATGTACGTAATTCTTTATGTACGAGGGCTTATTAAGGCCATTTGAAATAACAAATATTCATATATGAACCTGTTATGTGGGTCCTCTTTGTTTTAGAAAGGAATAAGCCTGGAAATCACATTGATCACAGATTACAATGAATAAGAATGTGAACGAACTTTCAGGTGATAAGCTTGCAGATTATGTTGTTTTGTTGTTAATATCTTGTTTAAATGCACGGTGTTGTATAGGTATTTTTTAATATCTGTTTTAAACAAGAAATTTTAAATGAATATTTGACTGTTACAAATATTGGCCCTGTCTTTACTAAGAATAGGTCAGGGTTGCGTTTTATGGAAAGTCCTAAGAAACTGAGACAATTTTAGTCTTAAAGAAAATGTCCTAACTTATGACTCTTATGTTAACACTCTTCCATTTCTGAATATCTATACAAATGAACATTTACACATAGCGTGTGCTATTGTATTTTGTAACTTTTCTCATGAGAATGAATTGAATTAAAGTCTTAAACATTTACTAAATATGAAAATATTTATTGAAACGGTCTTAAGTTACACTTCCGACTTTTGATAAAACGCAAATGACCAAATGATCCTAATTTTATTTTCATTGCTCTATAAAACTATAATTGATCATATGAACTGGTACATAAACAAAATGCCAAATAGTACTGATTTTCACATGAAGAAACAACCACATTTTGGGGAAAAATCGACGGATCAAAGTAAGGATCAAAATGAATAATTGGATCAACTGTAAATTGACCACTTTTTAAAAATAACAATAACTTTATTCTAAAATTTTCATAAATACACCATTTTAATTAAGTTCAATTTTATCGAGTTAATATGGCAGAAGATAAACTGTGGAGAATATTTGTGTTTTTGAATTTGATCCTGATCTTTAAATCTTAGTGAACCTGGGGTTATTAAATTACAAAATAGTATAGATTTATAGTATTGCATTTTAAAGGAACATGCATTTCCAAAACATACACAGGTGCATATGCTATGCATTTAGGACTGTGTGTGGGCACATAATATACCTACTATGTTTCTATCATAAATTACCCCGTCAACATTCTGTTTTATCTAAGGGCATGATGTCAAAATTAAGTTAGCGTCTATCAACAGTTTTTTTAAGTTAAATGGTAGAAAATGTATTTAAACTTTTTGCGATATGCGTGCATTTCAAAATTTAACTTTAAAGCTGAATTGTTGTGGCGCTATATCATAATAAAATGGAACTTCAGCCCCTACTACCTATTTGATCTGAAATATGAACAGCAAAATCAACAAGGAAAGGCAGCATGAAATGAACGCAGCCACTAAAACAGGACCATCGACAAGGGGCCAAGCACTTCAATGTTTAACAGTCCTAACCAAACATCATTTTTTTAAAATTAAAAACCCTTAAATTATTATACTATTGACTTTGTATCTTAACATGTGACACATCTGTAGATGATTGTCTTTCATTTGAAATTCTGAAATATGACCTGAAGCCCCGAATTCACTAGAGACAACTGCATTATGGCAAAGTTCAATTGTATAGAATCAAAAACAAAATCTTCTTTTCGTAATATTTAGTGTTGCATTAATGCGGTGACATAGCATTTCTTCACAAATGCAATCTTGTTTTATACTTCTTTTTTTCTCTCAGACAGTTTCAATATTTCAACCTAACTGTTAGTGATTATCAATTTTTTGTCAATGATCATGATAAATAGTCAAACTTATAAAAATATATCATTTAATTAGGTCAACCTGACAGTGAAAACACGTGCATAATGTCACTAAATTTCTACATTTGGAATAACCCTAATGTTTAAATACTGGCAGCTGTGTCATTCAGGCGCACATATAAATGCTACCCTCCTATATAAAGCGTTTGGTTCTAAGGGACATAACCAAATTAAAAATGCTTAGTATTGTTAACAAAGGTTACTTCCCTTATGACTTATCATTAGAAATCAGTGATATCGTGTAATCCATTTTATTATATCAAATTAAAAATGAAAGTTTCTGTTATACCGTATTTAACTTTTCATCTTTAATCCAATCTGCATGACGAAATGACGAAACCACACATCTATTTTGAAGATTTTCATTCGGATAAAAGGGGCATAATTATAGACAGAGATTCTAGATTTTGGTAGATCAGAAACTGACAAAAGAGAAACACGCGGCTGCATATCTGTATATTAATGATACTGCACGTTGGTAACTGACCATTGAACCCGTCAAACACTATATAACTATCATGCTAAAACTGTACATTTATAACAATTCTTTTCATTTGATTATCGTGACGTCTATAGATATAAACTATGTACAAAAGTACATGTATAATCAATTTACGAATTAAATTCATTCTATTCTCAACTTTATATAAGAACTATATCAGGACTAAACTAGGCAGTAAACCTTTAAAATTTAAATGTTTTTTTTAAAGATTATATAAAGTTCAAAGCCAATCTTTGGTGCGCTTTATTATTTTTTGATATTCCTAATATTTCTTAGAATAAAAACATATTTTACCTTCGGGTTAACGGAATGTTTACATAAAAAAACCCACATACACACAAAACAACAACAACAACAACAACAACAACAAAAGAACAACAACCCCAAAACAACCTTTTCTACCACTGTAATATGTTTAAACAGATCTGCATACATGTCCTCACACCTTTATTTGTGCCGCGTCATGACAAAACCAACATCCGCGCAGTCTGATCAGGATCCATGCTGTTCGCAACCAACACTATTACAGGTAGAGAAACTGATAGCGAACAGCATGGATCCTTATCAGACTTTGCGGATGCGCAGGCTGGTCTGGATCCATGCTGGTCGCAAACCCATTATGTTGGTTTTGTCGTGACGCGGCTCATTTGTCATCAGACGTCACAATGGTTTTTTTGCACCATCAATATTGCTTTATAGCACGGAGTTTTCCGAAATATGCCGAGTTTTCACGAATAGTTATGTTAGATGTTTGAACAAGATGTGGGTTTATACACAGTAACATATACTGTCTGTACATGCTGTATGATAAAGCAATATTTATATTTATGATATTGACCATGTAAATAAGCACCCTGATTAAGACTGCCAATAAATCTGTGCTTCCAAATTATGTGGGGGACAATTTATATGAAAGGACAAATTCACTTATAAATCAAAGTAAGCAAATAAACACCCTAATATGCGAGATGATACATCAAACAGTTCATATAAATCTTTTCAGCTTAAACAAACTTAACATTTGTCAAATTCTGTTGAACATTAAATACCTAACTATAGTCAATGTTACATCATGTCTTATAAATTTAACCACCATTAAAGGGAAGTGGCAATATTTTGTGATCCAATAAGAAATATCGATTTGAGAAGTGTCCCATGTGGTTAAAGTGTCAACCATTCAATCCAGGGACCGTAGGCTCGAACACTACTACGTAACCGGATGGGATTATTGGATTTGGAAGAATAATCATATCCATATAAAGAACCTGTTTTACAGCATACGGGATCTTTAAATAGAATAAAATAGAATATTAATAAATTGTTCAAGAACAAGATCTAATCATTCATGAAAAAAATGGTCATACTTAATCATCAAAGTCTTACACATATAGTCTTACTTTTAATATACTCTCTTTTGTAAATTGGAAAATGCAAATGAAGCTACTTCACAATGTACTTGTATTTTTATTTGAAAATTGCATAGGCGTGGCTGCTTTTATGTAATATTTGAGTGCTCGAAAAACATAACTATAAAAAGCCAAAAATAGAACTTATGCAAAATAACATTTATTTAACACACAAGTGTAATACTAGAAATACAAAGCATATATATGGAATGTTGAAATGTAGCAAAATTGTACAATTCTATGGCAAAAACGAGCACCACTGAAAGTTAATGAATTAGTAATTTGTACTGTAAATTAAATTGAAGGAAACGAATTAGCGCATACGGTTGCTGAGACATTATATTTTAAACTTCATTCAAAAAAGATTTAATGAAAGTGTTTATATTTCAAGATCATTCGTGATCTTTCTGATCTTAAATTACATACGAGGGGGCAAAGCCTCCGAGTATAAATCAGACTGCCGAGTGTTTTGATGTTCTGTCTCTACACTTTCAAAAAAAATCATTCAAGATCTTTAAAGAACAAATGATCAGTGATTTCCAAAACATTTATCATGTAAATAAATTAAAACTTTCTTTGTAAATCTCCTATCCCATGTTGACAGTTCGCCAAATTTTGTCTGCCAATGAAATCGCTCTATTTTGTTTTAATTTTGCCGAAGTATTTTCCATACAGTGCTGTAACTCAACTGTATGTATTAAATTTATACGTTAAATGAGCCGATTTAATGGACTCCGCCTATTTACATATTGCACTCGATTTGAATAGGCTAACTGTAAGTCGGTTATAGGTTATATACAGAGTTTTAAAAAACTAATTTTCTCGCTTCACTTTGTTCGCTCAAAAATTAATTTCTTAAAACTCTGTATATAACCTATAACCTATACTTAGACATACTTAATGTTACCAATTCTTTACTCCTATTTTAAATCTTTTGATCATCGAGCTTTTGATATGACACCGCGACTTTGTACACACATGTATAGCAATGCCCCGCCCCCAAAGTTTTGGGCGGATATTGGGGGGGGGGGGGGGCATACATACTAAATTCCTTCTTTTAACCATTTTAAATATTTCACCGGATATAATTCAGACTTAAGTGTTATATTCGATAATTAGTCCATGAATAAACTACATGTTTTATATTTTTGATATGTCACGATGACGTCATCTTAGTTGATTGTTCTTAATATAATAATAATAATAAAACACCTAAGCTATGTGAAGTAGTTTAAATCTTCTGACAGTGATGATCTTTTCCTGCGGTATACATTTGTATTCCATTTAAACCACGGAAAACTTGCAATATTTTTTAGTTTTTCAGACTCCAGATCGTCATGTGAAAAGCCTAAACGCTCCATTAATTCTTTAACATATTCAAATGGGCGGTTATTAACATGAGAATACCCACCCTGTCCGGGTCTAGCCCAACTTAAGACCACGCCCTCGCGAGCATGTCGAACAATATTGTCAATAAAAGTACTTTCAAATTGTTCTGGAATATGTTCTGCTACTTCTAAACTAATTATCCAATCATAAAGCGGTAACCCATATTGTGGGAGAGTCAAATCAAGAAACTGCACACGCCCTTCACTTGTGACGTCACAAAATGGGGCACCGTCATATGCGTCATAAGCTTTAAGTTTTCCAGAATCTGTTAAAAGCTGCTTATATCGACCAGGCCCATCCCCAAAACTGCCAACATATTTCCCTGAAATTTAAAAAACAATAGAAGAATTACAGAATGTAACTAAATGCCCAGCATTCTAATTATTGCCTAATGTTGATAGTCTCTTCATAATTTGTGGTGGTATAAAATACTTGAATAACCATGTTTGTTTGAGTATACTTATTAATACTGTGAGCAAGTGAAATTTCTAATACCACTGTTTTTGTAGTATGTAAAATCGTACCTTTAAAGAAATCTGCAAGAGCACTTGCAAGTTTAGTGTCTGTCATATGCTGGCCACTCCCCTCTGTACTTGCTTTTTGGCACCACCCACCAGTCTCACTTGTTGCCTGGTTAACAGCTTTCTGTAAGACAAATACGTATTATTATAATTCCATAAAAGTGTTGTATTTATGTAAATACGCTTTGTAAAGCACTCAACAAAAATAAGAAATATGTACCTTTTAAGGATAGTGCACACAATTTTTAAAAGTTAATTTTAAAGTGTAGGCAAACTTTTTTTATTTATTTTGAACCCAATTAGAAATATACATCCTGATGATGATGATATTGTTATACAATTTACTGTCTTACGATGAATGTTTAAATGCTAATTTAGAAAGCAAATTATGTTAAATGAGATCTACTTTAGAAATAATCTCCTCTATAATCCATTAGATTTGATAACAAAACCCATGGAATTTAATAGAAAAACAGAAAAAAAAGTTTGCAAAAGAAAAGAAAAAAATAAAGAAGGAAAATTAGGGGAAATGCAAACTTGTACTAATTTAACTACTCTGTCGAAGGGAATGTTGTTCATCTTTATATTAACAGTCTATGGTGGATGATTTGTGCCATGTCGTATATTCGCTCCGCGGAGCGTCAGGCGATAACACGAAAATACGACAAAGTCAACATTTTGTCTGTAGCATATTTCTTATCTACTGTCCAGGGCTTAGCTAGTGTGCGTCAAATAATCGGCCCTTTCCATCAGTCTTCAGATAAGGACCTCGAACACAGTAGTAAGAGCACACGGAACGGATACGATATTTCGGTTTTAACCTACGCTAAGAACTAAAAAAATCTAATAAAACTTTACAGGATACTATTTATATACTTATTATTGTGGTTATAGAAACCAAAAGTACATATTGTCCACTCGGATTTGGTTATAATTGTACATCAATTGATTATGATTGTGAGACATTATGTTCCATCATTAATTTTACCGAAATAGTTTTTTTATTTTCCTTTGGATGTCAAATATATATATTACTCCGTTTCTGTTTACATCTAAAACCACGTGGTAGAACTACTTTCAATTCGTATGAAGTCCGAGGTTATTATTAAGAATAGCCGAGATGTTCCGATTGCAACGTGAAATAAATGGACCAATGCTATCACATCATTTATAATTTTATAATTTGCATACTTTATCATCATTAGCGTCTCACAGATGCATCAGACAACACTATCAATTAAAACTTCTTTGTCATTTTTTATCAAGCTTAATAAATACAAAACATTAAAATATCTTTTTCAATAAATATTGTAGCATGTTCACATAAAGTAGCATTTTTCATATTTGTAAAAACTTGTACACTAATTTATACAAGTAATTTTAAAATAACAGCGTATAAAGGATCTCTAGTTCTCTAAATTTAAGTGAAATAAAATGGTTACGTAATCGAAGTTTAACCAAACCATTGTTTGTTCAAAATTTATTACACCGTTGCATTACTAGAGGCCCTTCAGAGGGAGAAATAAACCCCTGTTGCAGCACCTGTTCCTATGGGGACAGTTAGCTGGAGACTTTACATTCAATATCTCCGCATCGCGAGTTGGATTTATAATACAATTTTACACTATTTTGGCCAACATAAAAATGTTTTGCATTTATTGGTAAATCGCTAGGACAAACGGAAAGGATCAGTTGGTTCATATCTCCCTTATCAAAGTGTAGGGAGGGCACGAGTTCGATAGACTGCATAAACAAAGGTGACTGCTGACTGGATAATTTACCGAGAGAACAATGTGCGCCCCCGCCGTTTTATTTCTTAATTCTCTCTCCGCGACCCCGCCGGGCTAAGTTTATTTATTAAACTTCGCCCGACGCCCGCTAATCAGCGTGTTTTCGCTCCGCGCCCCCCGCCATTTTAACATGTTAATTCTTGACTTTTCGCTTGGCGGGGTCGCGGGGAGAAAACACGAATGGCACAAATCAGCCACCATACAATTTTGCCTCAGAAATCCATATATTTTTTTCAAATCTTTAGAAATGTCAAACATTTGTTTACAAATTTAAAGTTGCACGCCACCAGATGAGCCAAAATATTTCAAGAAAATCAATATTGAGAAAAAATGCACTAAACTTTTAAGAAAGATAAAAACATTCAAGATCCAGTTATATTTTACATGTTATGTGCGGTTTAAGACTGATTTTGTAGTATTTTATCACCATATTTCTACTTCGTTACTAACGCAATAAGTGCTGTTTTTGCATGTCTTGACCACTTTTTGTTAATTTTCGTGGATTGTAAGTGTCGAAAGCAATATGTAAATTACGATACAATATTTTACATTTAAATACATTTCCAAAATTTTCATGAAAATTAACATGAATCTGGCGGCGTGCTGCTTTAAAGTGTTTAAATAATGGGTTTAGAGCATGTTAGATCTTTAACAGACGAAAAAAAAGTAATGTGCAAAAGAGCGTGCAGTAATGTGTCATAAATTAAGCAAAATGTAAACAAAGTAGTATCTTGACTTCCATACAAAAGAAATTGCTTGTGTAAGTTCATCTTTAATGGCAAATGAGTAATGTTTTGGAAACTGTAACAATATACCAAAAATAAATGTTTTGAGAAATAAAAATGATTGCATATCTGAGGCATAATGGTCCTATGACCTTAACTTAACGAACTTAACTTTTACAAAACTCTGTATGTCAATTTTATTTACGGAGTTACTGGAATGCGAACAAAAGTTACATGTTCATCATGATAACGTTATACAGCAAAAAATGAGAAAAGTAAATAGGAAATTACATTATTTAGATCAAACAATATGATAGTCAATATGGAAACGTTAAAGGGTCTCCATTTAGTACGATCATGAGGTGTAAACCGACTGATTTTTGTCCGATTTGAACAGATGTTTTAACACAAATCAATTCATTTCATTCATAAAGACTAGACCATTTTTGTTATTTTGAGTCAATTTTACTCAAAATGTTTGAAGTTTTCTTTTCTTCAGGCCAATTTTTGTCAAAAAGACAAATGTTTTACAAAAGTCGAATATATACCTTTTCGCTAAGACAAAAAATTCAAGCATATCGATAAAAGTTTCGGCGATATAAACGTTTTTTTTAAAATCTTTGTGAATAAAGTAAATGGATTTGTGTTAAAACGTCTAATCAAATCAAAATTAATAAAAAATCAGTCGACTTACACTTCACGATCTCACTAATTGATGGCCCTTTAACTTCCGTAATTCAAGGACAATAATGTATTAACTATGATTTTATCAAATTAATTACCGTCGGAAACTATCATGCTATTCAATGAAATTTTAACAATGTTTAGAAACATGTACAATATTGTAAAGTCTAGTATAAAATTTGATAATGAATTTTCTGATTTTGTTGAAATCGCGGTGGGCTTACGTCAGGGGCAAACAAATTCGCCGACATTTTTTTCCTTATATGAAGACATCGAATCAAAAGATATAACATCCGTCCGGATATTTCATTGCAACTTTTTGATGCATTCGTAGGATCGATATTAAATTATGGTTGTCCTATTTGGGGGTTTACTAAGTCATGCGAATTAGAACGTATTCATCTACAGTTTTGCAAAACAATCCTTGGTGTAAAACAATCGACAAGTAACGCAGCTATATATGCAGAATTGGGTCGCTATCCTTTATATGTATTTCGTTTTGTACATATTATCAAATACTGGGTCAAGATTATAAATACGGATAATATGATATTAAAAAATCAGTTTATGCACATTCATTGACGCAGTATTATAATTGTAGAAAGAATTGGGTTTTAAAACTGCTCGATGATTATGGATTTAGCTCTGTTTTTGTAAATCATGAAAACATAAATTTCAAATTATTTGTAAATTTGTTAAGAAAACAGTAACGGATTGTGCCTTACAGAAACTATTTGGAGATATTGAGAAAAATGAAATACTGAAATCCTTGTACATACATTTAAAACCGAGCTTTGGTATATCGGATTACTTGATTAAAATAAATTCGTTTAAAATACGTAATAGCATAACTAGATTGCGCGTGTCGTCGCATAGTTTATTTATAGAATCTCTTAGACATGGGCGTAATCGAAAACCAAGAAATGAAAGATTATGTTATTTCTGCGGTAATGACATAGAAGATGAATTTCATTTTATAATCACATGCAAAAAATATTCTGACCTGAGAAACAAATTCATACCAAAATATTATGTGAAAAATCCGAGCATGTACAAATTTATTGATTTATTAAGTTCTAAAAAAAAAGTCTTGTTAAATTTGGGAAATTTTATAGCACAAGCATTTAAACGCAGGGAATTAAATCAACCAAATCTTCAGACATAATTATAAAAATGTTATCTTGTTAGTAATACTACTTTATTTCTTTTCATTCTCCATGTTTTGTAGTTGTATCATTGTATGATACTTTGCTACTAAATAATGTTAACTTTGATGATTACGTGATGTTTAATTATATTTTAATGTATGTTTTTTGTGACCATGTGCATTTTGTACACGTCTTATATGAATAATCTATCTATCTATCTATCCATCTATCCATCCATCCATCCATCCATCATTGCAGTGAAATTGCAAGTTACCATTTTAAGTTATAAATTCAGATTACTTCTGTTAAATATGATTATGACATTGTGCTCGGTGTGAACAAATTTACGACATTTTTCTAACGTATTAAACATTTTAGAACTAACGTATTAAACATTTTAGAAATTAACACCAATTTGGAAGATCATGACCTTTTTTCCAGCTATTTGGGGAAATTTGAAAACTAGGAAAAAATATGCATTTTTTAATGGAAATTTTACAAATATTAGAATTTTTAAAAGAATATATTATACATGGCATGTTCATGCTTATATAACATGTTATGTATTTTAAAAGACAAGTTTATACAGTTTATTTATTTTTCAGAAGTTGAAAAAGATTTGTTGGTAGATTTTTTTTTTAATTTGAGAATTTACACAAGTTTTAGATTCTTACAACACGCATAAGTGAGGTGAAAAGTTCTAATGCAGGGAAAGCCATTATTGCGCTGTAATGTTTTACAAATATGTTCATAGAAATAGTAATTTTAGAGACATTTTGCATATACGAAGTACATGTTAATTAAGTGTAATATATAATTGAGCCGCGTCACGACAAAACCAACATAATGGGTTTGCGACCAGCATGGATCCAGACCAGCCTACGCATCCGCGCAGTCTGATCAGGATCCAAACTGTTCGCTTTCAGTTTCTCTACTTGTAATAGATTTGGTAAGCGAACAGCATGGAGCCTGATCAGACTGCGCGGATGCGTAGGCTGGTCTGGATCCGTGCTGGTCGCAAACCCATTATGTTGGTTTTGTCATGACGCGGCTGATATATGTATTCATTGAGTCAGACGGAAGTCATTGACTTTAAGGTGAAAGTGAATAAAATAAGTTGTTGTAAATACCTCACATTCCATTTGCCCAAGTCTTTGTTGTTTCCGATTTAGAATCCGTGACAAATTATTTCTTTGCTCCAAAAATCCCTTATTTACGGCATTTATTCTGTCGGCGGCGGCGGTATTTCTTTCAAGCAGAGCTCCGCCGGGGTCGGTTGAGTCATAGTAAATTTTCACAAACAGTATTAACAGCATAGACACTGTAACTCCCGTTATAATTACCGTTTTTGTTGACATGTTTTCCTTTTTTCGAATTAGTATTCGTCACTCGAATTTGTATGCGTCACTTAGATATTAATTAACATGTACGTTTTGAGGATGAAAATGATGTATCTCTCACACAGTGTTGTCAACAATGTCTATTTATAGTCTCTATGTTATAAAGGACATTAATTAAACAGTTTTTATTTTCTATTTTATCCGCGTTATCTTTATCTTTTTCGAAGTTATTGCGAACAATTATTTTTTTTTATTATTACATGGTTTTTAAAATAAGTAAAACAACACAAATTAGATCGGTCGGATATGCACTTTTGCTTCTAAACCATTTAGAAAGTTGTTCAAATGCACTTTGATCCGAGGTTGGATATCAATCATGTTTAACACGCACATTTAAAGGTTTACACTCAACATTTTACAATTTCTTTTGTTTTAAGGCAAATTTAAAGGTGTACACCTCAGATCTATTAAAATGTGATCTGAATATTTAGCGGTAGGTAAATATTATTTAAATCATCTGTATCAGCAAATGCTCACGTACGATTACAAGTTTCTCCACAAGGTACTTTCAACTTCTGCTAATGTTTTCTGTTTTAAATAACAGCGGCGTGGAACTTCTGGCATAAGGCAAATTATGTCAATCAAATTATCTCGGTAAAAGTGCCGTCAAAGGACTTTATATCTCTTTTTTTCTACTGAGCTTAGGTGGTCCTTCTCTTTTAACTACACAAATAAAGTAACCTTTTAAAGAATCCTTTTATTTTCATTTTTTTTTCATAAAAGCGAAAGTTGAAGGCATTTTCTAAAAACAGATAAAGAAAAGATCACATATACATATACATATACATACGGCCAATTTTTAGCACATAAATACTAATATAAGGCCTATATAAGCATCAGCGTTTGGTTCTGGTCCTTTTTCATTCATTTCATATGTTGTTAAGTTCTATTTGTAAATTGTAAACGTGTATACTTGTTTGAAATAAACTATGATTTATCTAAGAATAGATTATCTCAGAAAAAATGACAAATCATGACATTATAATCTACTTTTATATAAAGTCAACATTTCAAATTATACAATTATATCTCTCTTTATCTCTTTAACTTAACAATGTTTGCGAGCGATATAGATGGTTAAAATTTAAACAAAAATGCAAAAATCAGATCAAAGTTTATTTTCTGGCAATTTGTGAAATAGTTGTCAAACCATACCAAAACAACAAACAACAACAACATAAAACAACAACTACAAAAAACAACAACTACAACAACAAACCAAACGACAATTTAACAAGTCATTGCCCTTTAGATAGTAACTCAAGTGAAGAGGTTGAGTCGTAAACAAAGGGTCATATAAAATAAATAAACTTAAGATACAAATGTACTTGACTTGTTGTCATAACAGATAAATTCATTCATAGATTATTAAGTAAATATCAAGGAGTAATAAAATTCAACAACTTTAAGGCATATATTGTATGGTGCAGTTATAGACAAACATTTAGCAGAATGAAAACTGTATACTAGGATCTATATAAACTATGCGAGTTTTTAGAAAATGATGACAAACAGAAACGTTTTAAACTTTTAAACATTGTCAAGTGAAAACAAATCAGTCTCGTTTCGAGTTATCTGCCCTTGAATTTTAAAATTTTGCTTATTTCAAGAGCATCTAAAGAACAAGAAAAATTTGTAAGGTCTTGTGCCTACTGTTTTTTGCGTAGCTGACATCCTGTCATGTGATTGTGGAAAATTTTAAGAATTGGGAATTAGAAGTATGCATATTTGTATTTCATTTATTAAATCCATGTCAGTTTTCTTTAAAAAATGGTCTCTAATGTTATAAAAATTTCATTTTTCGTACTAAAACTGAATAAAAGGAACACACACAAAAATATTATGGAATTTCATGAAATTTTGTATCGAGACCAATGAAGGAATATATATATATAAAATATATTTAATTATAAAATAAAAATGCAGGTTTCATTCTGCTTTATGTAAATAATACTTCATAAAAAATGCGGGTTTCATTCTGCTTTATGTAAATAATACTTCATAATTGTCTTTTGTTTATATGTCGAAAGAACTATGACATATGCATAATTGTAAAAATTATATTGTGTAATATACCTATTTATATCCTTGTATGTTATAAGCTCCTTCTATAGTAATATTCCTTTTTTATATACATGAAAACGAAATTATTATAAATAATAAGTTATTTGAATATGATTGTAAGTTTACCATATTATTAGTCTTACAGTTTCGTTTTGTTAAGGTCGATATTTTTATAAAATCAAAATCATCATTACAAACGAATTAAATATGCATTCATTATAATATATGTTTCTTGTCTTAAAATGTGGCAAAAATATGGAAATATTCAATATATATATTAATCTATTATGTGTACAGATGTGAGTGGTAAATATACGTAATTTCACATAGGTTGAAGAAAACAACATTATACATATATCGAGTACATGTTTTGTTTACATTTATATCAACCGGTACTATACATTTATATGTTAGTTAAAAATAACAATAATGTATTAATTTTATACTTGAAGAGTTGGTCGAAATGGCCTTCCTCGATATTATCCAGTCATTTTAAGTAATTCGTACGTATGTTTTGTATATCGACATGTTCACTGTTCGTTGTCTTGTATTATGCTATTACCATTATTATACAAATATTGGCCGTATAATAATAATAACTTTTTTTTTAATTTGGCGGCCATCTTGGACGCCATCTTGGATCTCTTGATTATCCGACCATTTGGGTAAAAACGAAATACAGTTTCGTATTTTGCGAACCTTTGTGAACATTTTGGTATATAAAAGTTTCTTGCATAGACCACTAGGGTCCTACTAACCGGTCTTCGTTTTCCTACACTGCATGTAATTATGGGCTTATAAGTAAGCCTTATATGACTTAAATAAAACTGGTTCTATATCTACGTCTCTGTGTAAACCTGGAATAATATACTTTTAACATCTCACACATAATAGTGAGCTAAGCACTGCACTGTGGAGAGAGAAAACAACAACAACAACAAAGAACAAAAATAAAAAAGCAACATAGAACCCCCCCTCCAAAAACAAGGAAAAACCCCCAAAAAAACCCAGCACTAAACAAAAGACCCGCAAATGACAGCAACAAAAAACAACAACAAAACCCCCCACCCCCCACCCCCCCCCCAAAAAAGGAATACATAAATAAAATATTTTGCAACATCATTATCTTTCTTTCAGATAGTAATATAATGTACAGATTAGTTATCTGTATGGAGATCAAAATGTCTTTCAATCAAGTCTTAAATGCTTAAAATGGGTTGCTAATTGTGACAACATCACAATTTTGGGGATTTTTAAGATTAGATTAAAAATGTGAAATTTTTTATGATATGTCACTCAATTGAAAAAATAAAACCGATTGTATTACTCATGAGATATTCATATGTCAAGATCGGGCTAAATGAATAAAACTAGTGATAGTTTGTAAGAATATTTTGTCATTTGTCAAATAAACTGCGTTCTTATTTGTCATTCACTCATAGTTGGTATTTTCTTACAATATCAGCAATTAAATTGTGCATTTGATTTTGTAATTGTTTGTTTCATATATCTCATAAGTTTTTTTTGGTTTTGTTAAAAGTTTACATTAACATGATTTTTTTTTAAATGCATAAAAGAATTGAATTGGATTTTTTTTTCACTATTGGAATAGTTGTTGTGGAATAACTAATGCGTGAATAGTCACAAGATTTTTTGTTTTGACCTACAGCAAATTGTACTAGATTTGCGAAAAATTATTTCCAGTCCCTTCATGTCAAACACCCGCATTGGAGACACTTAAACGCTCTCAAAATCTTTCTCTGCCGGCGCATTTTTTCTTTGAGAGACAAAAAAAATAAATAAATAAAAAACAACTAAAAATGGTGAAAATACAGTCATACTTGTATCATCAGCAATTTGATGTTATCCATGTATTAAATCAATGGATAATTTCTATCATATAATAGGAAATAATAGTTACTGGTTGTGTAAATAACACAGAAACTAACTAAAATCCAAGACAGAGCCGTTCCTTTCCGGTTTTAAATTAGTTTTTATTTTGTTGAAAGCTTTTACAAGAAGCAGTCTGACTTACTGTTTATTAATAAAAATAATCTAGATTGTTTTCCGATATACAATATGATCAAGAAAAGTTCATTTTTATTTGTTTGGGTCGTCCGTACAAACAAATAATGGTAGCGAAATTTCAGACCCTGATATTCTTATTTGCTAATGCCGAAAGTAGTCCAAACTCCTCGAAGCGGTTACTTCCCTTCATATGAACATAAACGCCGAAACATTAAGGGGAGATAACTCCGTAAAGATTGTCAAATGACAGGCGCATTAATTTTCGTAACAAATAAATAGCTCCCGTTGGATGAAGATTTCTAATATTGCGTAATTCTTATAAGAAATACATGCTTATATTCATCTCCATGATTATTTACTTCAGTGATAAACAACAGGTTTACCGTGAACAAAATATATCGAAATTAATAAGGGTAACAAACTCTAATTAAGAATAATATGGTATTCTTCAGTCTGTTATCTTATAACTCCCCGTGGTCGAGGGGGTTTACACGCTCGCTTTAGAAGCGAGACGTCCGTAGTTCAAATCATATTTCAGACAACTCATTTTATAATGGTTTTTTTAATTGATTAAGCCAAATAAACATTGAATTGAATATCAGTGTTGAAATTAGTCTTATAGCCAATTTACTATAGTTATATAACACTGGAAACAGAATGTGGTGACACTTTACGAACAAATTGGTTTATAATCTCACAACCTTCACCTTTCTGACATTCTGAGACCCAAACAAATTCAGCGCCTTCTGTGCTTTGATTTCTTATTGCCGATATTGTCAAGATGAGATCATTTTTTATTGCCGATAGTTAAAACCCAATCAGAATAAACTAGAAAAAAAAATCAAGATGGTCAACAAAAACTTCCAGCAATAATCTTATGATGAAATTTTCAAGATATTTTTTCAGATATATATATTTATCGGTGAATGAAAGTTAATTTAGAATTCGAGGAGCTAAATTTCTAACATCTTAACTACAGCAAGGACAGAGTCATCTTTTTAAGAAGTTTTTATACAGAAAATTATGGAATGCATGTTAAGTGGTTCGAGGTTACTAAAGAAAAACAACAATTATTTAAGCAGAAAAACATTTATTCATGACATTGTGTTATTCATTGTGTTATCAGTTCCACTGTTACAATTCCACAATTCTACAAGTACACGTGACATTGAGACATCGACCTAGTATTAAACTATTAAGATTAGAAACAACAACAACAAAAAAGCTAATTATTCGCGGTATTTGTGATAATTTATTCAGTATTTTAATTAGTTGTTGAAAACATTAGGACCATAAAGAGGTTCAAAATGAGACATATCCTGACATTAATTACACTTTAACTTTGTTATGGTAGTGGTTGAATGCCCTTATATATAAAATTCAATTAATTTGATTTTAAATCCAAATCATTTACTTTCTTAAACATTAAAGGAGAAGAAAAATGGAAAGACATTAACACTATAAGTTACTTTATTTCTGCCACAAGCTGAGGGAAAGATGGAAAGGCAATAAGACTATGACATACTTTAAGGACTATTTCTTCCATAACCCGAGGACCAGAATAATAAGACTTCCACTGAATCCGCACACGTGATCGTTTTACGATAAGTTATGTCATTGTTGAAATGAAAATACACGAATGGAAGCTATTGACTACTGGCTTTTTGCCTGTGTAAAGTTCGAGTCCCTCTTCAGTCACGACCATGTTTACTCACTCCAGTAACACCAGTAATAATTACATGTAATAGTGACATGTAACACAAGTAACACCATTACTCGAGAGTGGCTCAAAGCAAAATTTCTTCACAATCGAGTAAAATTACATAACATTTTAAGATAGAAAACAACAGCACTTGTATGGAAAGAAAATTTTAATAGATTTGGTGCTATATGTAATTATATAAGCAGTATAACAATTAACAGCATACAAACTGACACATTTTACAGATTTGCAGATTTGTTTGTCAAGAACATTTGTTAGGTTATCACAAAAAAGGCAACACTCCTAAATGAAATGTACATACCCTTTATACTTTAAAAATGCTATGCTTTCCTGATTTTTAAATAAAATATATTATCTATAGTGCCTATCTTAGTATCAAATGTTTAATTTCTTCACAATAACTTTCTTTTCTTGAAAGATCTAATAAATAAAATTTCCTATCTTAAGCATTTACTTCACATATAGACATTCGGATAAGATACCTGGGCATTCACCTACTTTTATTCTTAGAGGATACGCAGCACATTAACTTTGTCTCAGTCACGCCCCACCTATACAATCGGACAGAACATCCCCACCTACTTTTATTCTTAGAGGACTCGCAGCACATTAACTTTGTCTCAGTCACGCCCCACCTATACAATCGGACAGAACATCCCCACCTACTTTTATTCTTAGAGGACTCGCAGCACATTAACTTTGTCTCAGTCACGCCCCACCTATACAATCGGACAGAACATCCCCTAATGTTGCTTTATAAGAACAAAACAGAACTAAAATGTATCTTTCAAAGGTAAAACAGCTGATAGCTTAACTATCTTGTCAATTAACATATTACAAACAAATTAGAGGAAACATTTATAAAGACAATTTTCGATGATCGTGTATAATAAGACTAGTATAGTATAAATGAATTTCCTAAGAAATAACAGTTATAAAAAGCATTTACTAAAAAGTACTGCATTTTACAGCATTCTGACATATGCAAATGCATTATAAAACATAGAAACAAGTAACAATAACAATGTATTTTCAATCTAGTACAGTGTTAACACTAAGCCAACGTACACATACACGTACACAAACAATAAACAACTTAAAAAACGCACTATCTTTTTATTTATAAAAAACTTTAATATTCAATATAAACAAAAATTTGCATTAAAATTATAGCAGCTAATCAATTAAAAAGACATCATCTTAAAAAATACATTTAAAACAGATAAACATTTAATTATTTTATGATACAAACTAAGTCCCCAGATAAAATCAATGAGTTCAAAAAAGTTAATTTGGCATAAAAACTGCAAAAAAGTGTGCATCAATACCTTATAGCCAACACAACTTTAGTAAAACGATGCAGTGCAATATATTGACACTCTTTTACAAATGCACAGAGTTCTATAGTTGTGGTTGCAATAAGTGGAGTACGAGCTCTCATGCCTTGACCAAGCTCACCCAGTGCCACAGAATATGACCGGTTTTATGCTTCAAAGATATGTAAATGTTCTGTCATACATTCATGATGCTCTTCATCTTGTTTGTATTCTACTTCTTATGCTCTTTGGCGGATATTTTCTAGAGAAGATAACCCTACGGAACGCACTCGACATATAACGAACTTTATGCAACAGACCCATAATGCTTACTTGAAATGACCTTTTGCTATGGCATTTTTTTTTTAAAATTTAACATCTTCTGGATGACCCTGGTTCTTTAGTGAGAGCTCATATTACAAATTATCAATAATGATAATAATTGTTATACACTCGGTATTTGCTTTTGCGCACTTACTGCTTTCATCAAGTGAGTTTATAACTGTCTAAAAATATGTTTTTAAATGCTTATCTGTTTAAATGAAATTCATACAAATGATAGAGATAATAACTTTGATAAATGTTTGTTTTAAAGATTCATGAACATATTACATCAATAATTTTAAAAGCTTTTGAGTATACATATACATGTATTTAGTTTACAGAATTTAACAAACATTCATATGTAGTATATTAAAGAAATGTTTAAGCAAAAATGTTAACAAAGGGACACAATCATTGACACCAAACGCATTTTTGTATATATTAATCTCCCTTAGAATTTATTAGCGAACAAAAGTTGGGATCACCTGGCTAATATTCGAGCTATCTACCAAAGAATTTGAAAAAAGTCCCATATCTAGGACAGGTTATTCACAATAAAAAAATAAGGCCTTGTTTGTCATGTAACTGACATTCTTTCGAATAACTATACAAAAATTTCAAGATCTGTAAACATTTAGAGTATTTTATTTCTTAAACAAATAGTTTTTGTTAAGATATATTTTTTTCAATTTAACTTCAAAGCATTAATCAGGAAATTTCCCTGCAGCGGCTTAACAATTGCTGAAAAACTGTTAAAATCATGAAACTGATTCTTCAGCATACTTTTTTTTATAATGCATATGTATGAACATTGGCCGGAAAGCGGTGTATTTATAGCAAGGTAAAACATTTATATATATATTGAATAAAAGAAAAGTAAAAATAACTCAGTATAAAAATCATTCATTAGATAGTGACTTTAAGACTTAAAATGGTATAAGCATTATAACACTTTGAAATAAGTGAATTATATTTGCAGCTACTTTATATTCTGTTTTTTTTTCATTAACACTTTAAAGCCCACATAATTAAATTAACTTGAAGCACATATCAGGACCTTACACACTAACGAATAGGCATTGTCTCATTAACAAACGGTGATGTAGGCCGACGCTATTGTAATTGAACAATACAAACAATTTTCGATGTTGATATATGTTATAGGGACGATATTATACATTTTTTTCTAATTTTATCCACGCGAAGAGAAAGGAAAATGAGAATAAAGCTATTGTACAGGGCCAACAAAAATCAAGTTTTTATCTTTAGCATTTCTTAAGTTGTCCGTATGATATAATTATAGTAAAGTATTGAAATTTTTCCACTTGTCCATACAGGTTTTAGGACAAACTTGGCAAACGGCCGGATAATTATTTTGCCGTCCCTGTATAAATAATAAGTAATCCTTTATGATCAAATGTTTCCGTCAGATTTATGTAAGAACAATATAGTTATAAGTAAAAATCAAAATCACAAGTTTAGCAATCTGAATGACTTGTGTGACTGGACAGTACTTTCTCTGCTTCTACTTCTTCATCTTCTTCGTCCTCAACCACGCCCATTTTCTTGCCAATCCACAAGAATTTAGCCGTCATCTCCTCTTGCATCAGCGTGAAGCACATCGAGAGAATCGCCATACCAAATATGGAGTATATCGTACCGATAATCAGACGCGCATTGGCTGCGGGATCCGTGAAGTCCCGCCCAGGTGTGACGTCACCAAATCCAATCGTGCTGAGCGTGATGAAGCAGAAGTAGGAGGACTGTAACATATCCCACCCTTCCCAGTACTTGAAGAGTATGGCGCCAAAAACAATGTACAGTCCTTTAATAAAATGATATACATGTTAATCATAAAAAGAGAAAAGTATGAAGGCCGATTTACAGCGCCATGCCATATTTCTGCTTCTATTGCCTGCAAAAGCATGAAGGGACGACATGTTTGACTTTGAAGTATTCGCCTTTTCTAAGCGGAAGTGGAAAGGGACGCCAAAAGATGACCAACAATACATAACATTTTCCGGGTCTTGTCTTTTAGCGGCGTTAATGCAAGAACACAAAAATAAGTCGAACTTCGTCATGTATTCGCTTTTTATCGCGAAAATATGACATGACGTAAATTAGCCAACTTATGAAATTATTTATGAGATCTTGATGTGAATTCATCAGATAAAGTTTCTTTTAACGATTTTATTTCAAACTAATACTATTGTTTAAGCCTTTAGCGGCACTTTAAGTAAATGAGAATTAATTAATTAAAACCAATTTAATTCATATCTAAATAATAGGTAGTTTTAGCAAAATGTAGTTGTTCATATAACAACCAATGCATGTGACTTTAGTCTACAAAATTCAAGTTGTTTTTAGCATGCAATGAATCTGGCAAATGCAAATTTGACAAGTGCTTACACTTATCTGTCTGTCTTTTTCGGAAAAAATATGCAATGACGTATCACTTAGACTTCTGTTATAAAAGCTTAAAAATAGTGGCATGACTTTATGACCGAAGAGTAAAGCACCTAGAAAATGTATTAAAACAATTGAAACATTTATCAGTTTTTGCGCTAATGTAGAAAAAATGATTGGTTTAAAGAAAAGACTTTATATCAGAAAACAAATCAATGGTCTGGTCAACACGTAAAACATTTATATTTTTCAAAAAACACTTTATGAAGTTTTTTATATTTACCTATTATTCCGAGACTAATGGTCAGAGGTACAGCCACCTTGCTTATTTCGTCCCACTCTTGTTCATCGTCATCATCATCAGAATCATCGTCAACAATTAGCGGCTCCTTGCCTAAAATAAATATTATCACGAGTCCTCATAATTACATTACCACGTGACTTTTAACATAATTTTTCTTCGCGTAATACCCCAAATCACGTGACTTTTAACTTGATTTTACATTGCGTAATACGTGTTTATGAAAAGAGCAAAGTTGTATGGCCGATAAAGAAATCATGAAAAGGGACTTTCGTTCACTTTGTTAGATTATACTATATGGAAATATAAAATCAATATGACTTTTGGATGGATTGTTTTCTAGTTTGACTAGTGTATTAATAATACATTGATTGATTAATTTGATTGGACAATCGTGACTGCTGTCAATTTATGAAGTAATTCTATTCTTCCTCAATTAAAGGAAATTGCTTTAGTATGCATTTGTTCATAGTGGCTTTGGTTATATATAAATACATCCAACCGTTTGCCATATAACCTGTCAATGTTTTTATCACTAATAACATCTAAATCACGTTATAAAAAGATTGCTGCATTTTATAACATATAAATTTTAATCATAATCATGTCATTGACTAGAGTAAGCTTACTAATTATGTTTTGCTACATTTTTTACTTTAATTATTCCAAAATGAGTACGTGTGTCAGCAAAGCAAACATTCGGCAACTTTTTAAATTTGACTATTATTTGGATCAAATTAACATATTAATATAAAGTTCAATTGTTAAATAAACTAGTTTTGAATGTTGTACTTTATAATTTCAAGTACCAGTAATAGTTTTGGAATATAATAATTGATACATTACTAGAACCCATTCTGACAAGCCGGCCTCTTTCTTTCAGGTCAGCTGTCCCCAGGGCCTTGATGTTCAGAGGATTTGCCCCGTGGTACCGTTGTTTAGTTTCCGTGTCTCCAATGGTCAACGGCTCCCGTACCATGGCATTTGGTGGCCTCCATGCTGACAGATAAAATGATAGGACATTTGAAATATGATAATAGTTTAGTTTGATAATAGGGTCAACATTACTTTGTCATTATTTGGGAAGTATACAATAAGTTCATTAAATAAATAATGTGCATTCACTTTGATTTTTTATGCTTTAATTTGGTCTAATTTAAAAAGTAGCAAAAATGAAAATTATTCCCAAAGGCGTCGTATTTCTAGTTATACAGAAGTGGTTACTAGTAATATCTAAGCTTTACCTTATACACAGGTGTGGTTAATATGGTGGCTGATTTGTGCCTTGTCGTATTTTTCGCTCCACGGGGCGCCGGACGAAAATACGAAAGTCAACATTTGTCGTAATTACGCTCCGCAGGGCGAAAAGGCAAAAACAAGAAAAAACGACATTCAACATTTTGTCGTACTTTTTCTCCGCGGGGTGCAATGCGAATACACGATAACACGTCATGACACAAATCAGCCACCATAGGCTAATATGGAAGCTTTGCCTTATTCACCACTTTTATATACAGACAGAAGGTTTCTAAGCTTCACCTTATTTCCCACTTTATCTTCAAAAAAGCTTTACTTTATTTGTATCCCTCTATACATATAAGTCAACATCTAAGCAACATATTGCTACCGTCAAAGATTTTTAGTATTGATATTTTATATTTACGTGGTCCCGTGTTGTTTGATGAAGATTTTTCCTGCTGCGGTGGCTTCTTCTTCTTTTTACGTTTCAGGCATCCGCAGCAGATGATCTTAGCATAAACATAGCGGAATATATCTGCCAGAACGTCACCAATATTTGCCAGCATTATCAGCATTATAGGTATGCCCATCATTGCATATGACATACACAGAATGCGGCCCCATATAGTTTTTGGTGCAATGTGCCCATACCCTGAAAAACAAAAAAACAATAACATATGTGTGTTTACTGTATATGAATGCATGGTAAGCAAAGGAAATGTGTCTACTGCTTGAATTATGTAAACAAACTGAAATGTAATGACCATATATGGTAATATCTTTTATACCAAAGATGTCAGAATATACCACAAGTCGTCGGATTACTTTTCCTAAGTTTTATCATAATATTCATTAACGACAGTCAATGGTAGGGTACTAGGTCATCGCGCACCTGTAAAATGCTCCCAATCGGACTGTTTCTTTGTCGACTCAAAGATGATTTTTTTTTTCCAATTTAAAGGGACTCCACTGAGGTTTTTTGACATGATTGGACTGAAAATATTTTCCCAGATAAATGTACCATTTGATGTAGGTTTAGACCACTAATCTTTGTGCAAAATTTCAGATCATTTGCGCACTTCGTTTTACCAGAATAATTATTCAAATTGTAAAAAAATGACCCAAACCCAAAAGCTAAAAAAGCATAAAAATACGATTTTCAATTTATTTCAAAGTATATTTCTTAACTATCTTTGCATATATTTCTGTTTAAAGTGCCCCAGCTCATTTATGTAAGAAATTCAAATGTTATGTTTTTAGGCTTTTAAACCTCAGTGGAGTCCCTTTAAGAAATCGTTAGAATATCAAAGTACTGTAGCGCAACAAAGATTGGCTTTAGTACTTAATAATATTATAAAAAAACAAAAACACAAAAAAAAGAAAGAAAAACAAATAAACAAAAAACGTTAAAAGGTTAAAAGTTTTTCTGTCTGGTTAAAGCCCGAAAACGGAATAAATTTTGTTTGAGAGTGCGAGTTGGATCATTTAGGGAAAAAAACTTTATCCCGTTTTCATGGCTAAATGAGTAAATTTCTTTTTGTTTCTGATGCTTAATGTGCCGTATAGTACATAGCACAGGAAAACAAATAAATATAACATTTCATATCATATATCAGACTTGCATATGCCGGGTGTATTATGAGCATACAATACGTTACATGTATTTATGTATCTATATATACATTGCAACCAAATAACAACTGTATATTAAATATTCAATATTTATAACAATAAATTAAATTGAGAAAATATCGAATAATATTGGCCTCAACAAGTCAGCTAGAAATAAAACTGAAAAACTGTAAATAATTGATTGGAAAGATATTCGTTTAACCTAAAATCGATAATAGTTCCTAGTTCATTTTTCAAGTTTATGAATAAGAGATACCATTTTATAACGCCAGTCTTTTATACATGTTAAAATATATAGATAAGGTTTAGACTTAGAAAGTGTTAAGAAAGTCTTAGTAAAGCAATTTTGAAGGAAACAATTCGTTTTCAAATAAAAAATTCAGTGATATTTTTTTTATTGTTTATTAAAAAGTTCATGCTCGACGGCATCTCGCGACAATCGACATTTTCTCACTACATGCGAATAGATCTTAAAACTGTATAAATTATTATTCTCTACTTTGAACCGTATCTTACAACGTTCGATATTAACCCCGCATCACAATGTACGAGTAGTTGCGATTTTAACACTGTATTACAACGTATGGGTAGAAACGATTTTAACAACGTACGAGTAGATACGATTTGATTTAAACTGTATTACAACATACGAGTAGATATGATTTTACAACGTACGAGTAGTTACGATTTAACAACGTACGAGTAGTTACTATATTACCCCGCATTACAGCTTACGAGTAGTTACGAAATCTAACCCGTATTACAACGTACGAGTGGATAAGTATTTAAAACTGTATTACAATGTACAAGTAGATACGATTTTAACCCTGTATTACAACATACGAGTGGATACGTATTTAAATTGTATTAGAAATATTGTATTAGAACGTTCGAGTAGATACGATTTTAACACTGTTCGAGTAAATACGAAACTTGTCTTACAAAGTACGTGTGGATACGTATCTAAATCTGTATTTCAACGTACGAGTACATACGATAATAAGCTTTCATTACACTTTACGAGTGGCTTTTTATCAATGTACGTATTTTTTTGTTTGTTTGTGTTGTTTCTTTGTTTGTTTTTGCTTACAATTTATGACAAATTTCTTAACATTTACTTGTTTTACTTTAAAGCAGCACGCCAACAGATTCATGTTAAGATTCATAAAAATTTTTGAAATATATTTAAAAGTAAACTAAAGTGAGGTGAACAAATAAAATAGTTTACATATTGCAGACGGCACTTACAACCCATGAAAATTACCAAAAAGTGGTCAACATGTGCAAAAACGGCTCTTACTGCGTTAGTAACAAAATCAGTGTTAAATCGCACATAATATGTTATAACTTGGATCATGAATGTTTTTAACTTTCTTAAAAGTTTAGTGCAGTTTTCTCAATATTGATTTACTTGAAATATTTTGGCTCATCTGGAGGCGTGCAGCTTTAATAACAGTTCCTAACAAAATGAATAATAACACCGTTCAACAGAAAATCCTCACAACAGTTGGAGCCAACAATAAAGATGTACTATATACGGCAAAACATAGCGAGAGACGCGGTACAAAAAAAAAAAAAAAAAAAAAAAAAAAACCCGCACTGTTTTTATATTTTATAAACCTTCCCAAAAGGGGCCAGTAGCTCAAAGTCCTGCTGACGTGTTGCTGACCACATCAACCTACTTTTGATTTTATCTTTTTCATTTTTATTTTATTCTTATTTCACTTGCACAATGCTCTATACTTTTTGACACCGTTTTAAGGTTTTAAGACTTTATAATAAAGCAAGATTCAAGATTAAAGTATTCTATGTGTTTTGACAGAATTGAAATAAATCTGCACTAGGTAAGAGAATAAAAATAATGATAATAAAATTAAAAACATATCAAAAATTAAAAAAAAAAAAAAAAAAAAAAAAAACACACAAAAAAAAAAACAAACAAAAAAAAAACATACAAATGCATAAACACAGTAAAGTACAATGTACCAGAGTTTATCACAACCTATATTTGCGGGTTCGTACTCTGAGTATCTTAAAGGGCGGATGGACCCTCATTAAACCTAGAATGCATACGAATAACAACCTATATTTGCGAATAGAACAAATTGCGGAAAGCGATATGAATAAACGTTTTGCATAAGATAAGCAAAACTTACAATGTAACGCATTATTTTTTGTACCAAACAAATGAGCATATTTAACATGTTCGTGTGCGGATGGACCCACATAAAGCCTAAAATGCATGCACTTTATATTGGTAAATAGCGCAAATTGCGAGAAGCGATATGCAAAAATGTGCAAAAATGTTTTGCATAAAGATAGCCAAAATTATATTCCATTTAAAGGAATTTCTTTTTTTTTGTAGCAAACAAATGAATTTATTTATCAAATTCGTTCAGCATGCTAACCTATTGTTGTGAGAATGGTCATGGAAAAGAATAATCCGCCGGCAAAGGTCCATTCATGCATTGGCCCCTCGGGTAAACCGTACCCTTCACACCAACTACCATCGTACCCAATTATCAGCGTATTATTCCTGAATGTTTCAAACACGCCTATAATCTGGGCGTCAGATGCCTCAGATCCTAGAGGATTTGATAAAACCACGTCAATGAGGCTTAAAAGCGTCTCGTTTTCCATATCTCGATATTCTTTCCTTGAGTCAACACACGTTTGTACCTCATTCTCCTTCTCAAGGTACTCAAACATAAAACCACCCATCACACAATATACCAACACAATTAAAATCTGTCCCGAATGTGAAAATATCAACTTTGCAATGGATTTAAACCCGCTTTGATTACTGTCTTTATCCTTTTGTATTTCTTCAGAACCCATGATGAAAAATCACGATTTTCAATCTTTATACAGATGTTCTTTTGCTTTTAAAATGATTGTTTAAAATCCATATTTATAAGACAATTGTGGGAGATTTATTTAATATATGTATCATTTCACCTTTAATATATACACAAATTTACGAAAACCGCGAAAAAACTGTGTCACACCTATGACTATATTCCCTTTAATTCCAGTATAAAGTTATGAGTGGAAATTTTGATCGGTTTTATTAAATTGAATTTTAATTTTCAATAATGTGATAAAAGCTATTGTTTACATTAAATTAGTTTAATATGATCAATATTTTGTCAATACCAAGTATATTTATTTAATGCCGCCCTAATTTAAAAGAAGAAAAGCATGCCTTCTTTCTTTCGTCAACGGAACTGTTTGTTTAATGGTGTTAATTCTACCAACTTCAAAAGCGAATGAATTTCGCTTTTTTCCTTGGCGAAGGCAAGTTCTGTATGACAAAGCGCTTACGTAATGTAAACAATGCAAACTGTTTAAACAAACGAATCTGCAGATAAAAAGTGTGACACTGTTTGTAATTTATTTATTTATTTAATATTTTATTTAATGAGCTACGATACTTTAGATATATAATATCATCGACATTACACCGCTGCACAATTGATATTTTTAAAATTATGTAACAAGTTACACATGTCTTTATTAACTCATTCTTTTTCTGGAAGAGTATTCGACATCAGTCGGTATAAACAATAAAGATTTGAAAAAGGTCCACCTGTCTGGTAAAATCGATTTTTAGCTCAACTTAGCACAAAGTGCTAAGAACTGAACTTTTTTGTTTAATTATCAACTGTTTTTCTTTTTGAAAAAAAAAGTTCTTCTAAACGACATGGTAGAATTTAAGCAAACATCTACATGTAAGAGAATTTAGGTTATTTCAACCAAAGAACAAGAAGGTTACATGGACAAAAATAGACTTTGAAGCCGGTGCTAGTGTGCGTGGACAGTAACTTGCACTTTCCAGTACCGTCCATGACAGGCTAAATCATAACCGAGCCTGCAACGTTTTTCAATTTTGCAGTGTTCGGCTTACTTTAGGGATTCTGTTTTTCTCTAATTTGATATTTTAAGTGAAGTCCTCCAAAATATTCTTATATACTACACAGTCAAGAATTTAGATATTTTGTATGAAAAAGAGAAAATTAGAATCCCCAAAAGAAAGCCCAATACAACAAAATTGAAAATGTTGCAAGCTCGGTTTGATTGAGCCTGTTCATGGACGGTACTGTAAAGTGCAAACTACCGTCCACGCCCCATAGCACCGGCTTAAGCAGAATGAATTGTACAATTTGGAATTTTGAAACATCTGCAGATGTGTTTATATGGCGGTTATCATGGAACCTTCAATGTGACACGTAAGTGCCATTCCATGAAAAGCGGCATATGGTCCCCGAGTAAAAGAATGCCTGTGCCCTAAACGAGAAAACAATGGGGGAACTAAATAAAATGGAATTTTGAAAGGGGATCAGAGGTTATGAAGTAACCTTCAAAAATGTATATATAAACCATAAACTTGAGTTCAAAGTTTGCCTCACTCTGACGTTCGCCCGGTTCAGATGAACAAATGTAGGATAAGATTTTCAGAGTAAAGATATTCATAATTTTTTTCCTACTAAAAATATTTTTTTCCTGACGCCAAAAGCGACATGACATGGTTTCCTGTCTTTTTTGTTGCATTATTCCGAAGAAACTTGGGGAAAAGAAACTAACTTTATCAAAACTTACTTAGGTAACTTAGGCACTGCAGAGCATGCCCATTGATTGGTTCATTTTGTCTGGGGTTTACATATTGTGACGACGGGGAAAGGGAAAGCAATATAAATATCGTATTCAGATGCTCGTTCATTGGTTTCTTTTTTCTGGGGTTACATATTGTGACATCAGGGAACGTGTTTTTATGTTTGACTATGATACAAAAGAGAAAGAACATCAAAACACTCGGCAATCTGATTTATACTCGGGGGCTCGTACAAATCAGGTAGCCTCGTGTTTCGATGCTCTTTCTATTACTTACATTTTTCTGGGGTTTCATATTGTGACAACAGGAAACGAGTTTTATGTTTGACTATGATACAAAAGAGAAAGAACATCAAAACACTCGGCAATCTGATTTATACTCGGGGGCTCGTACAAATCAGATAGCCTCGTGTTTCGATGCTCATTCTATTACTTAATAAAATGAAGTTTAGTAATCAGCCTCCGAACTATCAGAGGGATACAGATACAACCCATGGATATTAAGTGTAAACTGCTTTATAATTGATAGTCACATAAACCTCAATGTTAAACTGTCTTGCACTAGATTAATTCTTCCTGTGACTTGAATTTTTGAGGTTATTCACCCTCTTGTGATTGTTTGTGTGTGTTTTGTCAATCTACCACTTTTTCATACTTACACCTCTATCAAGTATGTATATTGAACATTATATACTAAATAATTCTTCATAATTTTAAGAGGGTTGCGTATTGTGTCAAGAAAGAATGATTTCGACGAACATTTTTTTTACAGGTTACTGTAACCAATTCTAATTGATAAAACGGATCGGCCACAACTGCGCCATTTATATCATACTAAACGTACAATAACGATTTAGAAATAGTGGAGAACAACACTATCAACTTTCGTCGATATGGATAACAATAGTGTGGTGCTTACGTTTTTTAAACACCTATACAAAGGTGCTGGATGCAATTATCTTTATGTTACATAGATTCTGGTACGATAGATTCAATAAAAGATATTGGTTCCGCTCCGCTTTCATTCTTTTCGCCAATACCGGGACTCCATATGTAATCACCATTATGAATGCGTCATTAAATTGATTTGCAAGTTCAATAAAATAAGATTTGTATGATTAAAGAAAGGACACTGAATATTCGTTTATGATTGTAAAGCGGGAATTCATAAACAAATCCAATGCTAACATTTATATATTGATGAATTTACGATTTATTTATCCCTCAGTCTGTATAATGGACTTTTATAGCTTTGAAATTGGAAAAGTCTATTCGAATTTTAAGGAATTTTGGTAGACTAGTATAGCAGGTCAATTGAGATATAACAGTGCTCGGCGGAGCTCTATATTGTTGGCAACGTCTAATCACTTCCCGTTTTATCAGGGAAATGGTTAGAAACAATAATGGTTTCTTACGGACAATGTAACGAACATTATTTTTATGTATATACATTTTAAGCAATTTGCAGTAATTAGTATCAAATGAAAGGATCCATCAAATTTTATAAAATACAATGAATTCATGAAGCTGAAATCGTGAGTTCGTGAATTACGTATATTCACGAAGTTAAAAGTGTGGTTTCAGGAAGATGAAATCGGGAATTCATGAAGTTGAAAGAATTCATGAAAGTTGAAATCGTGAATTCATGAAGATGAAATGCTTAAAACGTATAGACCTGTTAAAAATAATAATCTAGTTTTCAATGTTTCATTGCAACAAATTTGTCCTTAACATTTCTTGTAAGAAACCATTGTTTCTAACCGTTCCACTGATGGCATCGAAAGTGATAAGCCATTGCCAACTGAACACATGAATTCCGAATGTTCATGAAGCTGAAATCGTGAATTCCGTATATTCATGAAGCTGAAATCGTGAATTCCGTATGTTCATGAAGCTGAAATCGTGAATTCCGTATATTCATGAAGCTGAAATCGTGAATTCCGTATGTTCATGAAGCTGAAATCGTGAATTCCGTATATTCATGAAGCTGAAATCGTGAATTCCGTATATTTATGAAGCTGAAATCGTGAATTCCGTATGTTCATGAAGCTGAAATTGTAAACTTGTGAATTCCGTATGTTGAAAATGTGAATTCATGTTGTTGACATCTTTTTACTTATTTTATAATTTTTACGTGCCGTAAATCGGGTATATACAGAATATTTCTCTTGTTTTGTTCAGTTAGTTTTTAAGGAAAGTTACTATGTTAAAATGAAATAAATATAAGTTTAAAGAAGGAGTAAGGATTGTATTTATTCAAGAGCAGTAAAAGTTGCTTCACCTGTCATGTTAAAGGCCATTTATACCCAATAAATGCATTTTTTTTCTCTCAAAAGCCTTTTTTTGAATTCCTGTTACAGTTTTTAAAAGTTACTTATTATCCAGTTTCTCAAACCATCTTTTGGCCATGTTGTCCTTTGGTAATAGGATTGTAAAAGTGATTTAGTTTTTTAGGGAAAGTCAGAAGCAACATTTTTTACATGTTTTTAAATGTTATGTTCTTTACATTCATCGCACTTTTTACTGTTTATAAAACCCAAAAAGCTATTAAAAAATTTTTTTTAAACGTTATCATATCATTTTTGGGCCTTTTTTAAAAAAATAAAACATTTATTTATTTTGGGGTTAAGGCCTAAAAAAACCTTAGCGGTTTTTTTTTAGAAAAAGAAACGTTTTGCCATGTTTTTTCATGTGCTATCCCATTGTTGTGATGACTGTATAAGAAGAAAACCACCAGCAAAAATTTCCCCTAAAGCATTTGGGCCATCGGAAGGCCATTCCTTCAACCAAAATTCCGTTCGTAACCCATAGAAAAAGAAAATTTTTCCGGGAAAGTTCAAAAAACAAAGTAAATGAGTCAGTGGTCGATCCTAGAGGATTTTGGGCAAAACCAGTCAACAAAATAAACAAAGTTTTATTTTCCATATCCAGATATTCTTTTCGTGATTCGACGCAAGCGGAAATTTCGTTTTCTTTTTCTAACATTTCAAAGAGAAACCCACCTAGTACACAATACAAAACAACAATTGTTGTAAGTCCTAGATGTGAAAATATTAATTGCGCTATTGTTTTACACAACTGCTTCCCCGACCCCTTTTCTTTTTCTACTTCTTCTGAACCCATTTTTTTCGACAAAATTTATCTTCTATTACAAGAAATTCCTTACTAAAGTTCACATTTTTAAGTCCAATAAATTTACTGATCGTGGAATTTTTTTATTTATCTTTTATTCTTAATGAGTTAAATATCGCCGCGATTAATTTAGTCGCGGACTGCGTCAAATGTTGAAAATGATAAATCGCTTTGCGTCACAGGAACGCCGGAGCTTCGGATGATTTTATTCAACATCATTTTACTTATTGATCGTTCTGAATGGAATCCATC